TCTTATATATATATATATATATATATATATATATATAGCTTTATACTAAAGAATACTATCTTTGCTTCGTTACGCAAAAGTTTGAAACGATGAATTTCCGATATATTACATGATCGATCGTAATTAATTACATAGAAATATTTAATAACGTCAAAGGGAATTTAATTAAATTAAATTCGTTCGATTTATCGTCGAAATATGCATTCGAAATTCTCTCCGTCATTTCATTCAATCGAAATAAACTCCAAAGTTGCAAACTTGGCGAATGTCCGTTAAAAAGGAGTAACTCTCAAACCGAAAACATCGTCGACAGCAAAAGCAAGAAGGAGAAGAAGAAGAAAAAAAAGGCAACAACAAAATTAGCGGGTCGAGGGGACCATCGTTCAAAGTCCTTTAGAACTCTCCCTCTCTCCTTCCCTCCCTCCCCTTCTCGGTTCGCCAAACGGTGAAACGAGCCACGAAACAGTTTCCTTCCCGCCAGTAATTTTATATCCGGTCCCGCTCTTCTGTGGTCGGAAACCACTTAATTTGCTCAAACATTTTTACTCACCCTACCTATCCTTCTCCTTCTCTCTCTCTTTCTCTCTTTCTCTCTTTCACCTAACGACATTAACGCCTCGGCAAAGCGTCGCGAGTAAACCCAAAGAACTTTCCTCGTCTGGCCTGTCGCGCGCCAGAAATTCGCGTTGAAATCGGATTTTCACGAAACTGAAGGAATTCGACCGAGCATAACCACGCTACCGCGGATTCGCCAATAATCCGCGAAAAAGGCGACATGTTTGCTAAACGCGTTAAAATGGAATCAGACGAGGATAGATTTTCGCCTCGACGATATTCGAGGCGTGTTCTTCAAACCTTCCTTTTCGAGATAAATGCGCACCCTGGTTACAGCACCTCGCTTCGTCCTCCTTCGTCTCTTCCTCCAAGTGTATCTACGCGAAATTCCTTCTTTTACCGCGCGAGTCTCCCCTTTCTCCGCCGCTTGTGCCCTCTTCGCGCTCTTTCGGGACTCTTTGAACACGTTCCAGGCCGCATCAGCCATCAAACAGAACGATTTAGTCCTCAAATAACTTTAGTCCTTGCTCTCTTCGATTCTCTCCTCCTCCTCGAATTTTCTCTGCTTCTATTTCGTTCTACTTCTATATCGCCTTTTTCGAGATCCTTGGCAAAAAAAAGGTGGACACGCCTCTCTCCTCGTGAAAGAACGTCCGTGTCGAAAGGGTAAAAAAATACGTAATTCTTGAACGACGGAATTTGAATTTGGAAAAGGAGTTAAATGAAACGAACATCCTACACGTCCTTATTAAACGTAAAACTTTCGAATCGTAGATAGGGATAATTGAATTTTGCCAGCAGTGTCACGTTGCTGTCATTTTAATAAAACCGGGTACGATGGGATGCATGAATTACGAGAGACGGAGAGAAAAAAGAAAGGAGAAGATTCGCGAGTGATTTTGCGGGACGTTAAACAGCGAGACATTTCGTAAGGGTTGAAAGGCGAGAAGCCAGGAGCGAATAGAAGACAAACGGGAGGGGTGGAAAAAAATAGTGGCGCGATAAGAGGTTCGAGAGGAGAGGCGGAAGAAAGCGAGAAAGGCGCGCGAAGAAGAGGGTAAGAGGGTGCATTCTCGTGGAAAATGCCTCTCGTTGCTCGACGAATTCATCGTTGCCGATTGCATTCGTGGTGGACACACAGGTGCACAGACTGTGTCGCGCGAATACAAGCGCATATACATACATATATATATATATACGCGAGTGCAAATCGATTCGAGACACGGCATCAAGAGGCTGGCCGCCAAGTGCGTTGCAGTTTGCAGCATGCACCACGAGTCCATGACTTCACGGGTCGACAGTTAGCACCGAGATTCGTACGCGTTCTATCTACGCGTAATAAATACGATTCAGATACAGAGAATGTAGATTGTAGAAGGTTCGAACGACATGGTGGCGCCTACGGGAGTTTCAGGGCTCGTTTTGGCACGATACTCGATGACCGATTCTCTTTCTCTCTTCTCCTCCCATCCCTTCGTAGTTTCCCAACTCTGTTTCCACTACCATTTCTTGCCTCGGTCGGGCAACCGTGTGCCCTGAAAAGCGCGATATCTGCTGGAAGCATTCCAGACATTTGGTTTCGAGGACGTCCGATTTCATGCGTTTATGGAAATTTAAGTCCCGCTCTCCCAAGCCTCTTGGATTTCATTCCGATTCTGTTTCAACTCGATGCATTGAAAACTTTTCGTACATTGTCGCGGTTATATACGGGCGTACGATAATTGTGAAACTTGGACCTGGTTCCGTTCCCCGATTTCTCCCTTCTAGTTGGCCACGATCCTTGTGGAGGAGAACTTGGATCTGTGAATGGGAGTAGTGCGTAGGAAATTAGCGCGAGTCGTACAAGGATTTACGAGAGTTTCGATTATATAGCAATTAATATAATAGGGGCCGCCCTTTCAAGAGAATTACATCACGAGAACATTCACATTCATCGAAGAATAGACGTGAATACGACACCACGTTTCGGTGTGAAAGAAATTAAAGTAAGTTGGCGGAATAACACCACAGGGGAGATCGTTTCGTTTATATTCAGAAACAAACTGGTAAGAAAGTTCTGGGAACGATAAAATTTTACAACATCGTATCTCAGGCTGCCAGGCGCGAAACAAGGGTGAAGCAAACGTTCTCGAATGCGATGGCCTGGGCAGAAAAGTGACTCGATCCCCGCGCCTCTGCTTGATGCAACCTCTCGAGGAGCATCGAGGAATAAAACTGCAATAAGAGGTGCAAAGAGACGCAACAATAAGGGACAAGTTGTACGAGGAGCTCGTGTTTTTCCCTCCTCCATCCTCCCGCTCTTCTCTACGCCCCCTCCCTCGTGGGGGACGAGCCAACTTTCCATCCGATGCGCGCGAAGTGGGAAAAATCAACGGGATTCCCGACGGGATTCCCGGCCAAGCAAAGTTATGCTTTATTCATGAGGATCGCTAAATGCACTCGCGCATCTCAGACTACGTATTTATTACTGTTACTCTCCTTCGATACAAATAAAAAGCGCGCCGGTATTTCGAGGATCGTGCGGACTCATAATGGTTGGTCGGTAACGACGAATCGGAGCTTCGTCGTTTTCCAGCTCCGGGAATATATTTCAAGATTCGCGTCCTCGATAGGGAAGAAGAAGGATGGGGATGGGACAAGGGGAGGGAAAATTCCCGGGTGCAAATTGAAAGCTAAATTTCGTTTCCTGTTCCACTGTTCCGGAGATTACCGGTTCGCCTCCGTGTCTTTTCCAGTTTATTTTCTCCTTAGGCGGAGTGTATACGTTTCTCGAGACGTTGTTAATTTAATTCAGTTCACAACGATGAATGTGGAATTTGTTTGGCTGTTAGATCCGTAGAACCGAATGGAGGGGCACGTTTTGTCGTGAATGGAAATTTAAGACGTGAATACTCGGAAGAGATAGGGAAACTTTGCGACACGCGTATGAAAAATACGAATGTTGAGGATCGAAGTTCACTTCAGGCAGGGAGGGAGCGGTGTTAAAGTATTCTGGACATTGATCTTGGAGATGGAATCGTTGAATGATGGCAGGGTGGTTTATTACGCACAATAAGGCTCGTGGGGTGCGAGGAATCTAGTCACGTAGGTATATATGAAGCAAAGGGTCCATATGATTTATGACGTTTCATTCCGCGATCGATACGAACAACGATCGCCTTCCTCGCTACGCGAGCTCGCAGCTGAATAAAGAAATCGTAAAACTGTGGTGTACTAGAACGATATTTACCACAGCTACGCCTCCATCTTTCACCGGTAAAAATGGTTACGGGATACCAGAATCGAATTCATAAACTCGAGTCGAGGAAGAAAGTATTCGGGTCAAAAATCTTGAAATCTTCGATGAACTACTCTCGTCGATTTTAAAAAAAATAAGAAAATCGCGCTTTTGTCAGACATGATAGCAAAAAAAAAAAGGGAGGGGGATGATGAGATGAAAAAAGATACGAAAATATCTTTAATCATGTATAAGGAAAAATGTGCGCAAGCATGATTTACGGTTCATCTCACGCTTGATCGATATACAATGGTCTCGGTATGGCTGATGAAGGAAACGGTGCAAGCTGCCAGGAGGCGAGGAGATGGCGTCGTTGGTATCCTTTTGCCAACGATACATAAAGGCAGCCCTCTTATACCCGTCAGCACGGTAATGATTTCATCCGAGGCTGCGAGAAGAGGGAGAAAAGAGAGAGAGAGAGAGAGAGAGAGAGAGAGAGAGAGAGAGAGAGAGAAGAGAGAGAGAGAAGAACAGACG